GACTCTCGCTTGCTGAGGTGTTCCAGCGAGTGTCTCTGTAGATCTTAGAAAACTATTTCTAGATTTAGCCCCTCGTGATATGAGATTGTACTGCATACACACTTAGTTCCGTTTGCTTGAATGCAGATCCCATGATAAGTTGGCATGTGCTGCTGCTGGAAAAAACAGAATGTTTATTATTTATAATTTATTTATTTACTTACTATATTTGTATACCACCCTTCTCCGCCCGCAGGCGACTCAAGGCAGTTTACAGAGGCAACAAGGCCCAGTACAATCCCAGTACAATCCGTGTTGAGGAAGGTGAACCCTTAGTTGAGCACAGAAAAGCAATGTGCATCAGTGTTACAGAATTATTATTATTATTATTATTATTATTATTATTATTATTATCTTTATTTATACCCCGCAAAATCTCCCGAAGGACTCGATGCGGCTTACAAAGGCCAAGGCCGCAACAAACAACAACATACAAATATAACAGTAAAACTCATAAGCAAATAATAAAACATCAAGCAAAGACAATAAAACACTAAAAACAATGACACATGATGCATTTAAAATCTAAAAATAACACCATGTAACATAATTTTTGTTCCTGGGTTATAAATGTCATTTTCCTAATTGGTTCTATCAGCCCTAGTGGGTTAAACCACTGAGCTGCTGAACTTGATGACCAAAAGGTTGTGCGAAGGTCTCACATGTGTTGAGGTTTCCCTATGTGTGAGGTTAGAAACCGCTGGGGGAGGGAGAGGATTGCCATTTTGGCTGTAGAAAGCAGTATACAACTACAGTAACTAAATAAATAGTAAATAAATAAATAATAAAGGTTGGCAGTTCACATCTGGTGGGAGCCGGGTGATCGCCTGCACTTAATCGGCCACTTCTGCCAACCTACGCAAGTTTCGTAAAAACGCAACCAGCAAATATGTGATGTAATCAATAGTAACCACCGGCCCAGGACTCCCCCCCCAATGTGCTTTGTTGGTGGAATTACACACTCCAATGCAGTCATGGCCCGGCAAACTTACCTTGCAGGGGCATCTGTTACGTACCAACAATACCTACACACCGCACGCGGCTCTTATGGCTTAGAAATGAGGTTGAGCACCACTCTCCAGGGTTGGGGATATGAACACTAGACTTAGCTCAGGGAAAATCTTTACTTTTGTTTTTGTCCTTTACCCACTAATCGGGGTTCTATCCTAAAACCATGGAAAAGTTTATTGATCATTGGACAGACAGTCAAAATACTTATGTTTTAAGATGGACAATCCTGGCAGCCCATTTTGCGTTATTTATTCTATTAATTTTTTCATCAGTCTCCCGCCTAATTTTCAACATACTTTGTGCGTCACATAAACTGGAGTTTCATTTTGAGTATAACAAATCCTTTCACACAATATTAACTAAGTTGTTAAAGAGAAAGTCAGCATTCGGTTTTTTAAAAAATTGCTGTAACTAACGTGAATATTTCAAAGATAGATATTCATCTTCTATTTATATTAAAATGCTCTGTGCATAATGAGTACCTTAAAAACAAGAAGAACCAATGAACGAAATCACACTGAATTTGGCAACAAAACGTCTCACAACACAAGGAGTGACCATCACTCAAAAAATTATGATTTTGTCATTTGGGAGTTGTAGTTGCTGGGATTTATAGTTCACCTACAATCAAAGAGCATTCTGAACTCCAACAATGATGGAATTGAACCAAACTTGGCACACAGAACTCCCATGACCAACAGCAAATACTGGAAGGGTTTGGTGGGCATTGACCTTGAGTTTTGGAGTTGTAGTTCACCTACATCCAGAGAGCACTGTGGACTCAAACAATGATGGATCTGGACCAAACTCTACACAAATACTCAATATGCCCAAATGTGAACACTGGTGGAGTTTGGGGAAAATAGAATATTGACATTTGGGAGTTGTAGTTGCTGGGATTTATAGTTCACCTACAATCACAGAGCATTCTGAACCCCACCAACAATAGAATTGGGCCAAACCTCCCACACAGAACCCCCATGTGGGCCACAGCAACGCCTGGCAGGGGACGGCTAGTCTATATAAATAAAAATGTAATGTTCATTTGTGGGATTAATGTAACTCAAAAACCACTGGACGAATTGACACCAAATTGGACACAAGACACCTATCAGGCCAATGAGTGACCATAACTCATAAAACACTGAAAAACACAGCGGAAGAGGTTTAAAAAGCCAAAAACCAAAAATACATTACAACCCATGCACAAAACCACATATATACACAAACACTCATATATACATACACACACACAACACATATACACAGACTGGGCCACAGTAACGCGTGGCAGGGGATGGTTAGTTGTGTAATAAGTTAGTACAGGAAGGGATTCAGTTCATGTTAGCCAGTCCTTCATCATTTTTCTTTATTTCCTTTCATATATGTTCCAGCTTCAATATGTTCTGTATTCTTGGCAAGGGGTTGGACTGGATGGCCCATGAGGTCTCTTCCAACTCTTTGATTCTATGATTCTATTATTGTTCAAGTGAGACAGCATTCTTCACAAGATTATCTCCACGCTGGCCCACTCCCTTTTTAAAGCTGCTGAATAATTTCTCTTGCTTTAGATGCACATACTTTTGCCCGCTTGTCTCTGCCCTGTATCTTGAAAAGTTACAACTGAGAAATGTCTGGATGTTATGATACTAGTTTTGAAATCTTGGGCTTTGTGTGCTTTTATGTGCACATTCTCCTGTGTCTGTAAATTTGTTCCTTTAAATGATGCAGGTTTGAAATCAAAATGAAAAAGCCTAGCTTTTAACCATAAAAAATGTGGCTATTCCACAAATATGCATTTCGAGTTGGCAATAAGCCTAGGCCAGCAAACCATTTAAGGTGGAAGTTACCTGGATTCTGTTCAGTTTAATGAGAACCATTTGGATCTTTGGGGAAAAGAGCTTCATCAACAAATTGGCTAAGTGCTCGTGCCTGCCTCTTAAATCATCTGTCACTTACTGCATTGTCACCTATCTTGTTAGCAAAGCCTTTTTAATAGCTTAGGGTAGAGAAAGGAAAAGAAAACTACATGTTAGAGCAAAATAGCAGCCAGCGTTGCAGAATTGCTCTCAGGCAAATTTGCAAAAGAATGTTTGCAAAACACTTTGAAACAATAAAAAGGACCAGGAATATGAGGCCATGAGATGTTTTTGACTGCAGGTCTTATGATCCATAATCAGAGTAGTTAATGACAGGATCTGATGGGAATTACAACCCAGTGACCTATAGCCTTTGCTGGACGAGTGCCTGGCCGCTGTGGCTGGCTGGATGAGGAAGAACAAGCTGAAGATCAATCCCGACAAGACAGAGGTCCTCCTGGTCAATCGTAAACCAGATTGGGGTATAGGGTGGCAACCTGTGCTGGACGGGGTTACACTCCCCCTGAAGTCACAGGTCCGCAGTTTGGGTGTCCTCCTGGACTCATCACTTACGCTTGAAGCTCAGGCATCGGCGGTGGCCGGGAGGGCCTTTGCACAATTAAGACTCGTGCGCCAACTGCGACCGTACCTCGTGAAGGCGGATCTGGCCGGGGTGGTTCATGCCTTAGTCATCTCTAGATTGGACTACTGTAATGCACTCTACGTGGAAATGGCCCGGAAATTCCAGTTGGTACAGTGGGCGGTGGCCAGACTGTTAACTGGTGCACCTTACAGAAAGAGGTCAACCCTCCTGTTTAAAGAGCTCCACTGGCTGCTGTTTACCTACTGAACCCAATTCAAGGTGCAGGTGCTTACCTACAAAGCCCTGAATGGTTTGGGACCATTCTACCTGCATGACCGCATCTCCGTATACAAACCCACACGATCTCTTCATTCATCTGGTGAGGTCCTGCTCACGATCCCACCTGCTTCACAGGCACGATTGGTGGGAACAAGGGACAGGGCCTTCTCGGTGGTGGCCCCGCGACTCTGGAACTCCTTCCCCAAAGACATCAGGCAGGCCCCAACATTGGCAGTCTTTAGAAGGAGCTTGAAAACCTGGATGTTCCGGTGTGCCTTCCCAGAATAAGGAATCCTAAGCAATATGTCCTCAATGCACTTTATGAGAGATTTAGAACTGTCTGCACGTCCACCTTTCCCAAAACATTCCTCCTATCCCCTTTAAACTTCCCAGCTTTTAACTTTTAAAACTTTCACATTTGGCCCTGCCTTATGTTTTTAAAATGTGTTGTGTCATAATTGTATTGTTTTGCTTTTTATGAGTTATTACTATTTTGTTGTTGTTGTTTTATGATGTTGTTGAGCTTGGCCTCTTGTAAGCAGCACGGAGTCATGCGGGAGATGGTTGCGGGGTATAAGAACAACAAAATAATACAAGGGGTTGGTATGACTCTGGAGTAAATATCAACCCAGCGCCACTTTCCCTAATTGGATTAGTCTCCTACATATCAAATTAATGACTGGAAGAAATGAATTTTGAAATATTAACGCTAGTTAAGAAAAGTGACATAGTGTCCATGGTGCACGTAAGTAACATTTCCTTTTAGGAACAATTGGCTTGCCAACATGTTTTCTACTTGTTGGTTAGTGTTGCATGTAATTGGACATACTTAAAGAGTGTTGAGAAAGCCATGTTCAGGATGAGATCATAACCCTCACTTTGCACTGGAGGTCAACCTTAAGGAAGTCATAGGGATGAGGGAGCAAGCTTGTTTTCTGCTGCCTTGGAGACTAGGACGCAGAACAATGGCTTCAAACTTCAAGATTCCATCTGAACATAAGGAAGAACTTCCTGACTGTGAGAACCATTCAGCAGTGGAACTCTCTGCCCCGGAGTGTGGTAGAGGCTCCTTCTTTGGAAGGTTTTAAACAGAGGCTGGATGGCCATGTGTCAGGGGTGCTTTGAATACAATATTCCTGCTTCTTGGCAGGGGGTTGGACTGGATGGCCCATGAGGTCTCTTCCAACTCTATGATTCTATTATTCTAATTTGTGGTTTCTCCTTTACAGAGTGGGCTGACTCCTCTTCATCTGGCCGCACAAGAGGACCGAGTCAACGTGGCTGAGGTTCTTGTCAACCAGGGGGCTACTGTGGATGCGCAAACCAAGGTACATATTCTTGAAGTATCGTTTTTACATGTTCCCAGAAGAGATGAAAATTGATGTAGCTTGGTATATTTCGATACTGTTCCATTTTCTGGGTAAAGGCCACCAGGAGGCACCAGAAAGAGAGAATGATAGTCTGTTTTACAGGGGCGGGGAGTTGAAGGAGGAAAACCAGTTCCCTCATTTTCCCTGTTTATTCCCCCTCCCCACTTCCCATTTCATAAATAAGCTTTGTTTCATGACAGGGACATGGGAGGGGGGAATAAGAGGAAAACAAGGGGTAATGGTTTTCCTTCTACAACTAAAATGGACTATCCTTCTCTCTCTAGTGCCCCCTTGTGGCCTCCACCCAGATTATTTATTTGTCGTGTCAGGGCAACCAGTCCATTATATTACATTTCTAACAGAACAAAGCAAACAAACAGACAAAATACAAAATTTGTGAGTTTGGTAGTTGATTAAATGTCCTTTGACCAATATCTGGCCACTTGGAGTGCTTCTGGTGTTGCTGCAAGAAGGTCCTCCACTGTGCATGTGGCAGGGCTCAGGTTGCATTGCAGCAGGTGGTCAGTGGTTTGCTCATCTCCACACTCGCATGTTGAGGATTCCACTTTGTAGCCCCATTTCTAAAGGTTGGCTCTGCATCTTGTGGTGCCAGAGCGCAGTCTGTTCAGCACCTTCCAAGTCGCCCAGTCCTCTTTATGCCCAGGGGGGAGTCTCTCATCTGGTATCACCCACGGATTGAGGTTCTGGGTTTGAGCCTGCCACTTTTGGACTCTCGCTTGCTGAGGTGTTCCAGCGATTGTCTCTGTAGATCTTAGAAAACTGTTTCTAAAGTCGTTGACGTGCTGGCTGATACCCAAACAGGGGATGAGCTGGAGATGTCTCTGCCTTGGTCCTTTCACTATTGGCTGCTACTTCCCGGCGGATGTCAGGTGGTGCAATACCGGCTAAGCAGTGTAATTTCTCCAGTGGTGTAGGGCGCAGACACCCCGTGATAATGCGGCATGTCTCATTAAGAGCCACATCCACTGTTTTAGCGTGGTGAGATGTGTTCCACATTGGGCATGCATACTCAGCAGCAGAGTAGCATAGCGCAAGGGCAGATGTCTTCACTGTATCTGGTGGTGATCCCCAGGTTGTGCCAGTCAACTTTCGTATGATATTGTTTCTAGCACCCACTTTTTGCTTGATGTTCAGGCAGTGCTTCTTGTAGGTACTGCCTGAACATCACCTACGCAGAGGTTGTTGCTACAGCTACAAAAGTGAGAGAATTAATCCGACTTGCTCTACTGCTTTTTACATCACCCTCTATTAACATGGAAGGTGACTTTCTGAAGGGGAGAGTCTCTCTGGACAAAGGTTCCCTCCAGACTTGGAATCCCTTGAAAAACTACTTTCCCTGCATAGAAGGAAATGGAAATGGATTATCATGTTCACCCTTGCCACGCATTTTTTCTGATAGTGTGTGAACAGGGCTTAAATATATGAATATATTTGTTGTTGTCTGTGCACAAAAATAAGACATTAGAGACTTCATAGAGGTGTTTAAAAATAGCATTGGTAAGTCCTGAACTGTGAAGATTTTCATCAATCCAGGGTTCTTGCTGGGATTTCCACATAACCTACTTTTGATTATTTTTTTTTCTGGATATTTTTTGAATATCCTTTGCATTTCTACTATTTTAGCTACCCAAAATGTTGGGGCAACTTGATTGTCTTTTCCCAAGGCAGACCTGGAGTGAGATGCTGATACCTGACTCTAGGTGGGACAAGATTTCTCACTTCATTCCTCATTTACGCATGAGGAAGGAACCATGTTCTTTTTTGTATTGTCGAAGGCTTTCATGGCCGGAATCACTAGGTTCTTGTGGGTTTTTTCGGGCTATAGGGCCATGTTCTAGAGGCATTTCTCCTGACGTTTCGCCTGCATCTATGGCAAGCATCCTCAGAGGTAGTGAGGTCTGTTGGAATTAGGACAATGGGTTTATATATCTGTGGAATGGCTGGGGTGGGGCAAAGAGCTCTCTGCTGCAGCTAGGTGTGAATGTTTCAACTGACCACCTTCATTAGCATTTGAAGGCCTGGCTGAGCCTGGGAAAATCTTTCGTTGAGAGTTGTTAAGATGTGCCTGGTTGTTTCCTCTCTGCTCTTTTGCTGAGGGACTACCAAACGCAGCATTGCTCAAACACGAATCAAGGAACATGAAAGGCACTGCAGACTACTCAACCAGAGAAGTCAGACATAGCAGAGCACCTGATGAACCAGCCTGGACACAGCATATTATTTGAGAACACAGAAATGCTGGACCACACCAACAACCACCATGTCAGACTACACAGAGAAGCCATTGAAATCCACAAGCATGTGGACAATTTCAACAGAAAGGAAGAGACCATGAAAATGAACAAAATCTGGCTACCAGTATTAAAAAACTCTAAAATTACAACAGCAAAACAGCAGAGAGGAAACAACCAGGCACATCTTAACAACTCTCAACAAAAGATTTTCCCAGGCTCAGCCAGGCCTTCAAATGCTAATGAAGGTGGTCAGTTGAAACATTCACACCTAGCTGCAGCAGAGAAGAGCTCTTTGATCCACCCCAGCCATTCCACAGATATATAAACCCATTGTCCTAATTCCAACAGACCTCACTACCTCTGAGGATGCTTGCCATAGATGCAGGCGAAACGTCAGGAGAAATGCCTCTAGAACATGGCCCTATAGCCCGAAAAAACCCACAAGAACCTCATGTTCTTCTTCTCGGGTATTCAATTGCTGGCCAACCTGGCTATTATAATACAGTAGTACATGTGTGGTCTCACAGGCCTGCTGTTTAGAGAAGGATCATGGCTCTTTCCTTGCATTTAAGGATACAACATTGCTGACTCTGTCTTGCTTGATGCTATAATTATAGGTCTGTCAGCCTCTTGGCTATGGCATTTTAGGGGAGGGGGAGCATGTCACAGTAATAATTACCTGCCAGTATCCTCTTATCAAAGGTTAGGCAATGGATTATTGACTCATAAAACTTGGGGACATTGCTATTAGCCTGCAGAGGCAAAATCTATAGATAGGAAAAAAAGGAGACAGAGGAGAGAGGCGGGGAGAGAAAAGGAGAGAATGAAACAGGGAGGGGAGGAAAACAAGAGAGTGATTATGAATAGCATAACTATTCTTTCTACTTTCAGGTTTGGCCATAAATAAGCTCGTATTTTTCCTGTAGGGAAATGGAACTCTCTCAAATCAATCCTCCCCTCTTCTAGAGATCAACATTTCATTGGTTTGGCAGGTTAAAAAAATCTGGAAAATGTTTTGGCTCTGAATGGACATACAGTTTTGTACTACGGGAAAAATGAAACTTTATGGATTTTTTAGAATATTGAGCAGTATGTGGTTCTCTTTATTTATTGGAAGCATTGTGCAGAAAATGATGTGTTCTGAAACAAGCTGTGTAGTTGTAATTTTGTTGGTATCAAGTTCAAACTGTACCCAAGAGGGTGTTAGCTTTCCATTTTTTGTTCATAGAATCATAGAATGAAAGAGTTGGAAGAGACCTCATGGGCCATCCAGTCCAACCCCCTGCCAAGAAGCAGGAATATTGCATTCAAATCACCCCTGACAGATGGGATCCCCCAGTGGCACAGTGGGTTAAACCCCTGTGCCAGCAAGACTGAAGACCCACAGGTCGCAGGTTCGAATCCGGGTAGAGGCGGATGAGCTCCCTCTATCAGCTCCAGCTCCTCATACGGGGACATGAGAGAAGCCACCCACAAGGATGATAAAAACATCAAATCATCCGGGCGTCCCCTGGGCAACGTCCTTGCAAACGGCCAATTCTCTCACACCAGAAGCAACTTGCAGTTTCTCGGGTCGCTCCTGACACAACAAAAAAGACCCCTGACAGATGGCCATCCAGCCTGTGTTTAAAAGCTTCCAAAGAAGGAGCCTCCACCACTGCTGAATGGCTCTCACAGTCAGGAAGTTCTTCCTCATGTTCAGATGCAATCTCCTTTCTTGTAGTTTGAAACCATTGTTTCGCGTCCTAGTCTCCAGGGAAGCAGAAAACAAGCTTGCTCCCTCCTCCCTGTGGCTTCCTCTCACATATTTATACATGGCTATCATATCTCCTCTCAGCCTTCTCTTCTTCAGGCTAAACATGCCCAGCTCCTTAAGCCGCTCCTCATAGGGCTTGCTCTCCAGACCCTTGATCATTTTAGTCGCCCTACTCTGGACACATTCCAGAGGAGTGTGTTCAGTCCACACTTTATTTATTTATTTACTAGCCGTCCCCTGCCATGCGTTGCTGTGGCCCAGTCTGGTGATCTGGAAAATAAAGTAATGAGAAAGTGTTGGTTTCTAATATGTGTAATTTCTTTATGCTTGTAGGTAAACAGTATTTGATTACTGCCCTGGCAAAGAGGGTTGGACTGGATGGCCTTAAGTATTTTCTATTGGTCATAGGGGTTCTGTGTGGGAAGTTTGCCCCAATTCTATCATTTGTGGGGTCCAGAATGCTCTTTGATTGTAGGTGAATCCCAGTAAATCCCAGTAACTACAACTCCCAAATGTCAAGGTCTATTTCCCCCAAGCTCCATCTGTGTTCCTAGTTCGGCATATGGAATATTCGTGCCAAGTTTGGTCCAGATCCATCATTGTTTGAGTCCACAGTGATCTCTGGATGTAGGTGTACCACAACTCCCAAACTCAATGTCAATGGCCACCAAACCCTTCTAGTATTTTCTGTTGGTCATGGGAGTCCTGTGTGCCATGTTTGGTGGAGTTCAGAATGCTCTTTGATTGTAGGTGAACTCTAAATCCCAGCAACTACAACTCCCAAATGACAAACTCAATTTAGTGATGGTTACTCCTTGGGTTAGTAAGTGTCTTGTGACCAAATTTGGTGTCCATTCGTCCAGTGGTTTTTGAGTTATGTTAATCCCACAAACGAACATTTTTATTTATATAGATGTAATTACTATATTTGTATACTTCCTTTCTCA